AGAGTTTAAACCCAACCGTTTTTCACTGCTGAGCTAGAAGGTAATGGCCCACTTTTGTTCAAGCCTCTTGGTAAAACTTTTTTTTTTTTCATTGTGCAAGCTGAACATATAATATGGATTCAGAGGAATGATTTTGACATTCGGTAGAAACGAGAAGGATAGTGTTATAACTTATATCATCAATAAGTTATACCCTGATTAAAACCCGTATTCTTATTTCCAGATCACCAAGAACAATTCTGTTTTTTTTTTTGTTTTGCTTGAGCAGAACCAAAAAAATGTAAATAAGGAGAGAAACCGGTTCAACTGAGTTGCTGCGATAAAAAAATTCATGTTGTCAACTATTTTCTTCATTGAGCAACGGGAGTAACTCAGAGTTACTTAAGATTTGCTCAAAAATTACTCATTGTTGAAAGCTGTCTAGCCCCTAGGATTAGAATGACAATCAACCACTCCAAAGCACAGATAAAACAATTATCAAAAATGGGTAAATTATAAATTAACACTTTGTCCGTCATAAAGGCTGACTAAAAGTAAATTGGTACGCCCCTCGCGCGCCGCTAGCACGCCTCTAGTGTTGGAAATCTACACGGCGAATGAGAACGACTCAAATTTGAGTTTAGTTCACTCATAATCGCCAAAAGTGCAGGAACTCAGCGATGAGTAAAATTTGTCCCATGGTTTCCTGTGGAAAACCTAAAAAATCTGCCGGAAAATAAGGAAATTGACGAAAATTTTATTCAGTCTCGGAGTAGTACCAATAGACTGAGTAAATCCAATCTTTACTTTTCTCAAATTCGGGAATTTTTCCCTGGAAAATCCTGGAAAAACCTGGGAAAACATGAGGCAAAATAACTCATCGCTGAGTTCCTGCACTTTTGGCGATTATGAGTGAACTAAACTCAAATTTGAGTCGTTCTCATTCGCCGTGTAAAATCTTTGACAGTGGTTTGTTTACACTTCTATAGAGAACAACTGGTCCAAGTTTGATCAAAGTAGTCGATCGCGTTCAGAAATAACGTCAAATGTAAACTCGAAAGAAAAAAAAATATTGTTCACAAACATCTCCGAGTGGTCCGATTCCAACCTACAAGGAAACCCGGAGTGTGGAAAGGAATCAGCGGACCTGCGAAAAAACTGAAACCAGGGATCATCAGCTGTACAGCAAGGTGTTGAGGTGCGTTAAAGTCAACCCCGGTCTTTCGATCTGAGATGTGGCCGGAAGGTACAACGCCAACTTTCAAACGGTGCGGAACATCCTTGCCAGGGAAGGATACAAGTCGAACAAAGACTGCTTGCTCCTTGAAGAGCAAAAACATTGAGTTTGTTGACTTTCTCAACGAACGACACATCGACATAGCCGTCATCACCGAGACTCACTTGAAGCCCGAGCTGAATGTCTTCCTTCCCGACTTTCGGCTCGTAGAACTTGACCGCACCAGCTCCGGGGGAGGGGTAGTGGCTATCGCTGCGAGACGGAACATCAGCTACCCGCTACTACCAAGCTTTCAGCTGAAAACTGTCGAAGCCAACATAAGGGACGGCGCGGCTGCAAACCTCCGAAAAGACAACATCAGCTTGAACATGACGGCGGCAAAATTTTGTCATCGCTGGTGACCTGAACGCCAAGCATCAAGCCTGGGACAATAGTCAGCGAAACCAGAACGGCACAATCTTATACAAAGATCTGCAGGAAGCCCACTACAACATCCTGTGTCCAGACACTCCCACCCGGTTGAGTCGACATCTTCATCAGCAACATTGGCGATAACATCTCTCAACCTATCGCCAATCAGAAATTGAGCTCGGACCGAAGTTAGTTCCTGGGCCAATAGGTTTCAAGTTTCCCGGCGAAATTACCATCGTGTCAACTGGCAGCAGTATCAGCGCTGTGTGGACACAGCAATCGATTTTACGACGTCCTACCGAAGTCGTTCGAAGAAGTCGATCGGTGTCTGCAAACCATCGAAGAGGCGATATCCCGTGCCAGGGAGCAACACGTACCAGTATCCAGACAGGTGAGTCTTGACAGCTCAACCAAAGATCTTATCAGGCTCCGTAGCACCATTCGTAGGCAGTTCCAGCGTTCTGGGCTGCCCTACTTGAAGACCAATAGACTAACCAAAATTATCCACGCCAGGATGGTGGAACTCAGAAATAACGATTTTGCCAACAAGATACGCTCTCTCCCAGATTGTGCAAAACCATTTTGGAAGACGACCAAAATTTTGAAAAATAAGTCGAGACCGATCCCTTCGCTTTCCTCTGTTGACCAGAACTTGGACCCAGCCCTACGCATAACCCCAGTTGAAAAGGCCAATGCTCTTGGCCAACATTTTGTGATTTCAAATAATCATGGCCAAACCATAGTGAGCCCTCATGGACCTGCCGTACGGGAGGCAATGTCTAGAGTCACTGACACCCGCGTAGTAGTGCATGATAACAGTAGAATATTGGCTGTTGAGGTGATAGCAGCTATTAGAAGTGTTAAAAACATCGTTTCGTTCTTCGTTCCTTTATTTAACGTCGGTCTCTGTTCCGCAATCTAGGGCCAATCACCGACGGACATCGATTGCCATCCATTGACGGCAATCGAATGTGCAGGAAGGCAGATTCCACACCTGCGTATCGCCCCATTAGCCTCTTGTCCTCCATCTCGAAGCTATTCGAAAAGTTGATACTCAGCCGTCTGCTGGTGTTTTCAAATTATAATAACATCATTCTCAAATAGCAATTCGGGTTTAAAAAAGGCCACTCTACCGTCCACCAATTCGCACGGGTTACTAACATCATCAAGCGGAATAAGTCCGTTTCCAATACATCTACCATGGCATTGTTGGACGTCGAACTGAAGATCATCAAAAACTTGTCGGGCAGATCATTCCAGGTCTACTTGAAAAATGTCCCCTCTGATACGTTCAACATAGATGCAGCGGTCCCTCAGGGTAGCAGGCTTGGGCCTATCCTATTCAACATTTTCACGTCAGACGTTCCTCACCTGCCTGGTGGTGGTATCCTGTCTTTGTTGACAGATGACACCTCCATCATCTATAAGGGTCGTGTGATCCGTGCTCTGGCGAGTAACTACTATCAGGCCTGGATGTTCTGTTCAGGACTATTTCAAGAGCTGGAAGATTTGTATCAATGCAGCTAAAACACAAACCATTCTGTTTCCACACTCGAATTCACCTCGGTTTGTTCCACCTACTAACGTCAAGGTCCATCTTGATAGCACTCCCATTGAATGGTCTCACACTTGATAGCAAATTGCGATTCCGATCCCATGTGGACAAGACATCCACCAAGTGTAGCATCTTGGTCAGGTCGCTCTACCCTCTGATAAACAGGAAGACCATCCTGTCCCTCAGAAACAACCTTGCTGTCCACAAGCAGATCGTTCTGCCGGCTATTGAGTATGGTAGGCCAATCTGGGAGAGTTATGCTAAGTGCCACCTCCTAAACTTCAGAGGATCCATAACAAGATCCTCAGAATGATCCTTAACAGTCCACCGCGAACTCGTAATTCTGAGATTCACCAACTGGCCGGTCTTCAAGCACTCGAGGAGCGATAGACTTCCATGCTGGAAAGGTTAAGAGTCACCTGTCTGCGATCAAACCACCAGATCATTCGTGATTTGACAACTTTGTTTAAGTAGTTAGGTAGGCTCCTGTGCTCAAGTAGGTAGGTTATCAAATTTTTAAATTCAAACGAAAATAATCCCATTAAAAGGTATCCTGTAAATTAGCGCTAAACGCAATCATCACATTAGAATAACCAATTAACTAGAACAAAGATGAAGAGCCAAAGGCTAACCAATTGAAATGTTAAACCAAATTTTGAAACATGAAAAAACCAAAAAATAAACGTAAATTAAAAAAAAAGGAGTTTCATTCCGCAAAAAAACCATTTTGAAATTCGTGAAAAAATAAAAGTTATAGGTAAACATGCCTTTGCTATTTTTTTTTCTTCAAAAAATCCAACAAATAAGTAGCATATAAGACACATGTTGAGTTGTGACTGCGTTGCCCATACACATATGCAATTTAGTTATCCTTTAGCATGTTGTTTATTCGTGCAATATAGAAACAACTCAGAACAGTAAACCCAGCAAAAATGCTCAATGGGTCACATATAAAAAAAGAGTAAAAATTATAGATCTTGAACAATTTAAAGCATAAAACGTTCATCGCAAATGGAGTTTTGTAACATAGTCGAAAGAGGAGATTCCTGTCGTTTTCGGTGAAGATTTTTAAGGCATCCAAAGAAAGTTCCAGTGATTTTTTCTGAATTCTCAATGGAATTGAATGGAACCACCTCCGTAGACATTGTCAGAAAACGCCGCGGAATTCCATTGGAACTATCGTTACCAGTATCGGAAAACTTCACCAAAATCGTCCGCAAAGGCAGCAAACTCCTTTAAATAGACTGGAACACGGTCTGGAACGTGATGTTTTGCCTTTTTTGTACATGTCAAAATAAACACTAAACTTAAAAGTCACTCATCTTGCATTCTGACAGATGACATTATAAGTATCGCTGATATTTTTTATACCGCGGTGGGATTCCCGCCTAACCTTTCCTAATTAGTTCTATTTTTTTTTTAATTTATCAAGTAGAGATAACAATGTTTTCCCCCTCGCTAGACATATAAGAAAAGAATAACCTAACTAGGGGTGATGGACCTAATGTCGGCCTAAATGCCCCTAATTTGGGCCCATACATTCAGCAATCAACTACATTTTCAATAGCAACCAAAAATATCCATTAGTACCATCCCAATGCCGCGTTCATTTAGATACAATTGAAAAATAGCAGATCTTTAGCGATGAGCCCAATTTTAGATCCATAGACCAACATTAGAGCCATTTCCCCTCATATAAAAAAAAATCAACAGGCGCATGTATGTTAAATATATTTCTCTCAGAATTTAGACGATTTTTACAAATGCGTCATCAATGTAGCTTAGAAAAACTTTGATCTTTAATCCATAAGTCCACCCTCAGGATAATCTTGAATGTTCATTGAAATGTCAAACCAAGATAAGGCTTACCGTTCCAAGTAACATGAAGCTCACCTGAAAATAGAACAAAAAATAAGTTATTAGAAATGGTCAATTTATTTCAGTCTCATCAGTTCGTTAATCACAATTATCAACCTCAAACTTCATCGACTTCCCTTCCTATTTAAAATACCATCTACCAGCTAGTTTAACTTGTCATAGTTATGTTCCAGAGTCCATCGGGACCCATCAAATGATCTTTATCGCTCATTTTAGCTCGTTAAATATTCATCCTCCCTTTTTCCCCTTGTCAGTCTGGAATTCCATTCTAAATCGTCACACACCGTTGTTGCCAGATGGGTTTTATAACCCTGAAATAGTGGGATACTAATTACACGTCGATACTTTTTTTTCTTCTGTGCCCCGAACAACGCAACTGGACCTCATCGTCTACCAACTACCGAAGTATTTCGTGTCACCGCCCAATGCATCGTCCAGGAACCGTTCACAATTAATTAATTCAAAATTGTTTATTTGCAAAACACTGATAATCATTTGCGATTACACGCCCCACCAATTAACACACTGATGTTCGCTTTCTCTTTCCATATTCAGTGTTTGCAGCCCGGTCCACTGACTGGAGGGCCGGAGGCCCTTCGCGTGCACGGAAAAAATAAATAATAATTATGATTTCAACATAACCTACAGCAGAGCGCTTACTGCCTTCAGGATGAAGTGCAAGTTCGAAACCAATTCGAAGCGGCGAAGGACGCGACATTTTCACAAACGACAACAGTTACACGCAAGCAAATTAAGGAACAAAAAATAAATGGGTAACTTCCGCGATGAAGGTTGTTGCGTGGGATTTTCGTTCTTATTTATTGGGCAGCGAGGGCACGGAATTCGAATTTGAATGCCGGAATGGAGTCTAGTAAATCACGGACGGATTACCTATGGAATTAATTTGCTGAATTAAATGGCGATTTCATTCCGAATGCATCCGTTAATTGATCGTTTAAATTATCGTCGATGTTCGGTTTACATATTCATATAAGTGCTCTGCAATTAACTGAACCGTAAACCGATAGCGACCGGTACCATCATTGGATTATGCAATTGAACTGGTCTCTTGAGGGTGAATTTTTGATCAACAAACCATCCCCAAATCTATTGCACACACTACGATTAGATAAGCCATTTGTAGAGATAATTTTGTCCAGATTGGGCGTAAAACGGGCAAGCCCAAATATGGATCAATTTAAGACAAATTTGCATAAAATGGGTCGTATTTACCCATGTCTGGGTTTTTTTTTTCCGCACCACGCTCAATCTGGGTAAGTGGTTATAAAAAAAACGCGGAATTCTAGGATCAGTTTCATGAATTTACCACTTTTACGAATGTTCTGGGTCTTCCGGAGGAACAGACTTCTGATTTTCCGGATGCAAAATTGTCCCAAAAGAAGGTCATCTATCTTGTTCATAACTTTTCAGAAGACACCAGGAAGTTATCTCTTCAAATTACCCTACAATAAGTGTTTGTCCCCAATTATCTCTAATCCCATATGCAGGGTGTCCATTCAAATTCCATTTTTCAATTCCCGGATTTTTTTCCCGGTTATTAAAAAAAACTCTACCTTAAGGGGAGGTTCGTTTGGATTTGGCCGAAAATCGTGCAAACTTTGCTAATTTTTTGTGGGAACACGAAAAGACATACAAAGTTGTGCTATTGAGTTTTAATGCCTTATACATTGATGACTACAAAATATTTTTTGTTTTTGGAAAATTCAAAATGGCGGCTTCAAAATGGCGGATCTCGTCGGCCTCTGCGCACGAAACAATGTCCCCTGTTGTCAATTGTAAGGCCTTCCGTGGTAAACTGATATGAGTAACTGTTATATGTTATGAAAAAACACAAAATTTTCTACGGCATATACCTAACCTAAACAAATTTTTAACGAAAAAAAACCTAACTTTTAGGACATTAAAAAAAAGGTAATTTTTTCTCATTTTTTTTTTACTTTGATCTCGTTTAAAAATTATAAAAAAAAACAATTTTTCATGCCAATAATAGGTACAAGCCGTAAATAAAAGTATTCACTTTAAAACTATGTTTGAATGAAGCGAATCGGCCGCTGTTTCATCGACGATCAGTAGCAACAACAAATGCAACCCCCCTCGCTTGCTTCGTTGCCAGATCAGGTTCGGCAACTGCATGATGCCGTGGCTGAGCTAATTAAAAAAGTCGACAATTTCTCTGCTAAGCCACAACGCAACCCGTCACTGAGTGCTACACCAGTTTGGCCCAAACCGGGTGCAAAGCGCCGTTGTGAAGACCGGCCTGATATTGACGTGCCAACCGTAATGGAACGAAAACAATTGACTTGAGTGGTCTTTCCGTTCCCTCTATTGCTCCTAGTGCACCTTTGGACAAATTCTGGCTATATCTTTCTCGCCTGAACCCGCTCATCACCGATAACGACGTGTAGAGTATTGTGTCACGCTTAACTGAACCTGTCGATGTGGTGCGTTTGTTTCCCAGAGGAAAAGTCGTATCCAGTATGACATTTGTGTCATTCAAGATCGGTTTGGATGCTTGTTTGAAAGATGCTGCACTCGATCCGGATTCCTGGCCTGCCGGATTACAGTTTCGCGAGTTTATTGATTCGGCAAAAAAAACTAGCGTGCTAGGTTTCTCCAGCTGTTGACACCATCGCCACAACTTCATCGGATCCGGGACACCCTAAAACAGGCACTAAGGAAGCTCCCGAGCCCCCCGACCCAGTCGCGCTTGCTGCTGACATCCGCCATCGTCATCGTCCCGGTCCTGTGGTCGGTGGTGGTATCGGGGGCTTCCGGCCTGCAACTCCAGGCGAGTATAATTGCGATTTCGAACTTTCGGTAGCTGATTTTCCTTCAACTTCCAGTTCGCGTAGTGGCATCTTGAGTGGTCTCTGGAATTACTACCAAAATGTGCGTGGGCTGCGGACTAAAATCGACCCGTTTTTCCTAGCTGTCTCGGAGGCTGCCCCAAGTAACAATCTAAATGCTTGGAAGATTTATTCTTATTTTATCATTGTTTTATCATAGCATCCCTTCCAGCCTGTGGTTGTATTACGGTTTTGTGTGCTTGTCATAAAATCAGGCCGTCAAGTCGTCTATAAAACTGTTTCATGACTACTAAATTAAAACTCAGACTTCATAGTTTTAACGGTAGCTGTAAGGTGGTTCTGCATCACTACTTATAACTGAAGAATAAAACCAAAACAAAACATACAATTATGTTTTATGGTACACTTTTTATGACCGATATAAAACTTGAAGCAGTCTTAGACTTTCATTAAAGCTTCATTACAACTATCATCTTTATCAGAGGCCTAAGATTCACAGATAAGAAATTTACTGCTTTAACAAAAAATACTCTGAAATTTTTTGTCATTATAAAAAACAAATCTATTCAGATATATGAAATGAAAACCCCTTCAGTGCTTCTGAACACGATGAAGATGAGACGATCGACAATATGAAACTCCTGGAGGAACTACAGTTATACGATCCCTACATAAGGCACAGTGCGGTGAAGGAGCTCTTAAAAATATTGAACAAGCGGCTTTCCGATACACTTCCGAAAGATCCACGAACCCTTCTTAAAGCAACGCCGACAGTTTCACTAAATCCGTTTGGAGATGGCCAGTATTGGCATCACGGCTTTAAACCTTGTATTGAAAAAGCTTTTAGTGGATCCAATAAGCATTTCTTACAAGCGAAAATAGGAGGATCGCTTGGAATGTTGACTTTTTGACAGGTGGTCATGGGCTTTGTTTTGTTTTGATTCGCTGTACCGAATAAAACCAGCAAGCTAGTTATATAGCTTAAATATAACTTAACGCTCTCAATTTGGACTACGAAATGCTAAGATACAACCATTAGGTTTATGTTATGCTATAGAATTCCAATCTAGGAGAATATGTTATATTGAGGTATTTTTAAGGAGTAGCAAGTTATAACGAAAAAAAATGTCGCCGTATGAACAAATTTCACACAGTATGAATAATTACGCTTTAATTGATAGGCAATAAAACACTTTCATACATCTATGTATAATTAAATAATATGTGACTGGTTATTGCTCAACAGTAGTAACAGTTTTGTACTAAATAGATAATCTTTGAATGACTCTTTAATGCATGGTGCTAATGCAGACAAATTAAAAATATCCCTATATTTTAGTATTCATATGGCGCACTAAATGTATGCTCCTATTTGGTATAATAATCACCATAAATATTGCACGGCATGCTATGAAGCATATACAGATTGGTTTAAAATTATAATAAAGTCGTCTTATTTTCAATGTACAATAATATCAGCCATTATTACCAACTGACAAGGATCATGATTTCACATCAAACATTGAAAGAATAAAACCACAATAAAATATTTCTCAATATTAACTATCATCCAAAAACCCCAACTTAAAACCTTCAAAGTTGTCAAAATGTTTTGCGTATCATGTTTTATCAACTTCTTCAGGAGCGATTTATGCGGTTGTAATATAGTTTTATGGTAGTCATTAGAAGGCTGTTAAAACTTTCTGACCTGGAGGAGGTTTTATGTTTTCATTTTTAACAATCACGGCTAGAGTGTGATAAAACTGACATAAATCCTATGCTCCTAAAGTAGTTCGCATATCAAGTTTTAATGACTGCATTAAAACTGGGCCAATTGGCCATGACATGGCTGTATTGCGGTTCTCAGGAGATTGTTAAAGCAATGTGGTCGTCAGTGAAGGTTTTATAATTTGGTTATATCAACTGCTATAAAACTTAAATAAAACAAAAATTGTTGCTTGGGTGAGTACGATTTGATTGTTCTGACAGAAAAGTGGCTGGATGACCGGATTTACTCACCGCAGCTGTTTGGATCGCATTATTCCGTCTTCAGAACCGACCGCTCTCCCCTAAACAGTCAAAAATTGCGTGGTGGTGGGGTTCTGATCGCCGTCACAACGAAACTGACCAACTATGTAAGTACCTCGCCCATTTCAAGTCTGCTAGAGCAAATCTGGATTGTTGTGG